ATCTAAGATGTGCCAGTAGATAACCAATTATATCCAGATAAAATAGGACGACAGACTCTCTTGAATGTAAACATGGGGAATATGGCCGTCTGAAGATATTTAGATTTTTTCATCAGAGATATGCCCTGTCTTTGCCCTAAAAACAAAGGAATGATATGGACGGTATGTAGAGGAAATGATTGTAGTGAGAATAAATCCTTGTTAACTGGGCAGCTAGCACAGAGTAGTTAATTCCTATAAGTCCTAGAATGGACCTATTAATGTATGATTCGAATATTAAGACAAATTGTAGTTCTGCATGTGTAGAGATGGTGGAGTCCACAATGCCATTTGGAAGGCATTTTCTAGCCTTGCTCATGGCAACTCCACAATCCACGGAGCAGAAGACAGTGTTATTTGAGGAGAGGAGATATATTTCAGGCTATCTCCAGTATCTGCTTCTCAGAAGGAGTCCCCATAAGGCAGGGGGACTCTGTGCTGAACCTTTCTCTCCATTGAGTGAATGAACAGGGACTGCTGGCAAGGATGAGCATTACATGGCTAAGAACTCAATATCACAGTCTAGCTTCTTGATTCTCAAAGAATGTTGCCAGTCTGGGGCTTCGGCATCCACTTGTTGAGGAAACTGAATTGTGGAAAATGAAGTGCCTTATACCCAAGTTCAAGGGCTTCCGATGAAGATGCATGAACATGATAGCACACAGGCATACATGCACACAGACACTTAGAAACACAGGGGTAAGAAAATAAGTATTAGGGCCTGCATGACAGGTAAAAATGACTGAGCTATTACACCTTCCCATGGGGAGATCTGCTGTACAATTGGAAGATGGATAACACTAGCTTTCCCTGCCCTGAACTTTACTTCCTTATTCCGTTCCTAGTATCACCACAATCAAGAAAAAAAATCATACTTCCAAAGTGTTTCACACTGCAGGACACATCCTTCTACCTGGCTTTTCATGGACAACAGTCAATGAGATCACTCTTGAGCAGTTTTAGCATCTATCTGCATAGAGCAACACAGCTCTCCCAGATCAATCTCAGGACCCAGACATTGTTTTTTTTTCTTTTTTAAGTTTTCAAGTTATTTTAATATCTTACAAGTTTTAATGATCTTTATGAATGTTTTAGTATCATAAAATATAATGCCTATATATCATGAATATTAGTGAATGCCTTTTTGGTTTTTATTTTTATTGATTTTTATTGAGCTCTACACTTTTCTCTGCTTCCCTCCCTGCCTCTCCCCTCCCTTAACCCTCCCCTGAGGGCCCCATGCTCCCAATTTACTCAAGAGATCTTGTCTTTTTCTACTTTCTACTTCCCATGTAGATTAGATCTATGTAGGTCTCTCTTAGTGTCCTCATTGTCTAAATTCTCTGGGATTGTGGTTTGTAGGCTGGTTTTCTTTGTTTTATGTTTAAAAACCATCTATGAGTAAGTACATGTGATAATTGTCTTTCTGTGTCTGGATTGCCTCACTCAAAATAATGTTTTCTAGCTCCATCCATTTTCCTGCAAAATTCAAGATGTCATTATTTTTTTCTGCTGTGTAGTACTTCATTGTGTAAATGTACCACATTCTTCTTATCCATTCTTCAGTCGAGGGTCATTTAGATTGTTTCCAGGTTCTGGCTATAACAAACAAACCTGCTATGAACATAGTTGAGCACATGTCCTTGTGGCACAATTGAGCATCCTTTGGATATATACCCAAAAGTGGTATTACTGGGTATTGAGGAAGGTTCTTTTCTAATTTTATGAGGAATAACACACTGACATTCAAAGGCGCTGTACCAAGTTGCATTCCCACCAGAAATGCAGAAGTGTTCCTTTTTCGCCACAACCTCTCCAACATAAGTTGTCATCAGTGTTTTCGATCTACATCACTCCTGTCTGTTCTTATGCCAGTACCAGGCTGTTTTCAGTACTGTAGCTCTGTAGTAGAGTTTAAAGTCAGGGATTGTGATGCCTCCAGCCTTTTTTTATTATATATTTATATAATATACATGTTATATATTTATTATATATAATTATATATATTATTAAAATTTTTCACCTCCTACCCTCCTCCACTCCCCTCCCCCTCCAAGCCAAAGAGAAGAGGGTTCCCTACTCTATGGGAAGTCCAAGGTCCTCCCCGCTCCCCCCAGGTCCAGGAAGGTGAGCATCCAAACAGACAAGGCTCTCACAATGCCCGTCCATGCAGTAGAATCAAAACCCAGTGCCATTGTCCTTGGCTTCTCAGTCAGCCTCCACTGTCAGCCACATTCAAAGAGTCCGGTTTGAGCACATGTTCCATCAGTCCCATTCCAACTGGCCTTAGTGAGCTCCCATTAGATCAGTCCCGCCGTGTCAGTGGGTGGACGCACCCCTCACGGCCCTGACTTCTTTGCTCATGTTCTCCCTCCTTCTGATCCTCATTTGGACCTTGGAAGCTCAGTCCAGTGCTCCAATTGGGTCTCTGTCTCTATCTCCATCCATCGCCAGATGAAGGTTCTATGATACTATGCAAGATATTCATCAGTGTGGCTTTAGAACAAGACCAGTTCAGGCACCCTCTCCTCTGCTGCTCAAGGAACAATCTGGGGACATCTCCTAGGACACCTGGGAACCCCTCTAGAGTCAAGTCTCTTGCCAACCCCAAAATGGCTCCCTTAATTAAGATATCTACTACCCTGCTCCTATATCCAACCCTCCTCCATCCCAACCATCCCATTCCTTCAAGCTCTCCCAATCCTCCCCTTCTCCCTTCTCTCTCTGGGCAGGGCTTGGGAGCACAGGGGGTGGTGGGGATAAGGGGAGATGGAAAGACAGAAGTTCTTTTATTGTAAAGGATTGTTTTGGCTATCCTGCGTTTTTTGATTTTCCATATGAAGTTGAGTACCGTTCTTTTGAGGTCTTTGAAGAATTTTGCTGGGATTTTGATGGGCATTGCGTTGAATCTGTGTTCATTTCTATTTCTTTGTTTGCATGTAAAATGATCATGTGAGTAAATAAGATTAAAATGTGACTAACATAGAAAAATTTGGGGGGAGCTATAATTTTTGTGTTTGCAAAGGTTATCTCGTTTTTTTCAGCTATGCAATGCTAGACATAAAATGAAAGAATGTGTTCTTTATTTAACAGGCTTGCAGTTACAAATAGAGTTAGAAACTGGAGATTTTTTTGATATTATATAAATCCCCTGGTAAAGCCAATATCAGATAAGATATTGGAGAAAGATTAAAGTTAGGAATACACAGGTTTTTGAGGGGGGTCATGGTTTGTAAGCTTAGTTCTTAGAGCAGTTGTGGATTTTTTTCATTTAGTATTTTTTTAATTTATTTTTTTTTTAGTTGTTGAAAAAAATTTCTGCCTCCTCCCCATTTCCCTCCCCCTCTTCCCCCTCCTCTCCCCCTCCCCCACTCCATTCCCCCTCCCTCTCGAGAATGAAGAGCAGTCCAGATTCCCTGCCCTTCGAGAAGTCCAAGGTCCTCCCACTTCTCTCCAGGTCCAGAAAGGTGAGCATCCAAACAGGCTAGGCTCCCACAAAGCCAGTTCATGTATTAGGATCGAAACCTAGTGCCATTGTCCTTGGCTTATCATCAGCCTTCATTGTCCGCCATGTTCAGAGAGTCTAGTTTCATCCCATGCTTATTCAGTCCCAGTCCCGCTGACTTTGGTGAGCTCCCAATAAATCAGTTCCACTGTCACAGTGGGTGGGTGCACCCCTCTTTCTCCTGACTTCCTTGCTCATCTTCTCCCTCCTTCTGCTCCTCATTTGGACCTTAAGAGCTCAGTCCGGTGCTCCAATTTGGGTCTCTGTCTCTATCTCAATCCATCGCCAGATGAAGGTTCTAAGGTGATATGCAAGATATTCATCAGGATGGCTATAGAATAGGGTCATTTCAGGATCCCTCTCCTCAGTTGCCCAAGGTACTAGCCGGGGACATCTCCCTGGACACTTGCGAGCCCCTCTAGAGTCAAGTCTCTTGCCAACCCTAAGATGGCTCCCTTAATTAAGATATATATTTCTCTGCTTCCGTATCCACTCTTCCTTTATCCCAAACATCCCATTCCCCCAAGCTCCCCCCATACTCCTCTTCTCACCTTTCTCAACCCATTTCCCCTTAGCCCCTCACCCCCAAGTTCCCAGTTTTTGCCTGGCAATCTCGTCTACTTCCCATATCCAGTCAGATGACTATATGTTTTTCTTTGGGTTCATCTTCTTATTTAACTTCTCTAGGATCACAAATTATATGCTCAATGACCTTTATTTATGGCTAGAAACCAGACTAGACTTTAAAATGCTAATTAGCCCAATTAAAAATGGGTCACTGAACTGAACAGAGAATTCTCAACAGAAGAAATTCAAATGGCCAAAAGGCACTTAAGGTCATGCTCAAACTCCTTAGCAATCAGGGAAATGCAAATTAAAACAACTTTAAGATACCATCTTATACCTGTCAAAATGGCTAAAATCAAAAACACCAATGATAGCCTTTGCTGGAGAGGTTGTGGACTAAGGGGTACTCTCATTTATTGCTAGTGGGAATGCAAACTTGTGCAACCACTTTGGAAATCAGTGTGGCGATTTCTCAGGAAATTCGGGATCAACCTACCCCAAGATCCAGTAATACCACTCTTGGGAATATACCCAAGAGATGCCCTATCATATGACAAAAGCATTTGTTCAACTATGTTCATAGCAGCATTATTTGTAATAGCCAGAACCTGGAAACAACCTAGATGCCCTTCAATGGAAGAATGGATGAAAAAAGTGTGGGATATATATATATTAGAGTACTACTCAGCAGTAAAAAACAATGGCATCGTGAGTTTTGCGTTCAAATGGATGGAAATAGAAAACACTATCCTGAGTGAGGTATTCCAGACCCAAAAAGATGAGCATGGGATGTACTCACTCATAATTGGTTTCTAGCCATAAATAAAGGTTATCTCATTGTTGAAGAGTACCTTTGGTCATTTCATCAATGAAGACACTCACCTTGGAGCTAGTTGAACCTTTCAGTCAGTCCACTGAGGGCAAGGGCATAGATTTCTGGTTTCATAGCCAGGGGCTTGCTCAGTTGAACTGACTCACTCCTGCAAGGAGAAGAAAATATTGACTTGCGTGGTGCTAAATATATCATCACAGTGGTCGGGAAAAACCTCATTCCAGGTCAGCCAAATGGCTCAGGCAATAAATCCCTTGATTCACAAGAATGACAACTAGAGTTTATTCCTTGGTGGAAGGAGAGCACTGTACCCTCAGAGTTGCCTTCTGATGTCCACACAAGTGCAATGGCTCTTGTGCATTCACATGAACACACACACATCAATATACGAAATCAAATAAAAATATCCCAAACATATCATACACAAACAATTGAGTATCTTCTATATAAAATATATCTGCACTTTGCTAAGGCACCTTAGTCAATATTATAACATATTTCAGAATATCATGGCTTGCACTGATAGGTAAACTCACCTTCTGAATATGTCATCCAAATCCTACAAAAAAAGCAAGAAAAATTTAGATTACTGAAGAAATGGCATACAAGGTTTGTTTACAAAGTTCAGATGTCAATCACCATAAAAATAACCATCCCCTATGTGCCCTGAAAATTTATATTATGTCTCAGGATAATGCCAATGAGGGTGATTATCAGAAATTGAAATCTTGATGAAATCAGACGGTAAGAACAAAATTTGAGAAGTACGTTGGTATTAAATGTACATTGCTTTTGAGCCCCCAAGTATCTGCAAAGTTAATATTCCCTGAGTTTGAACACAACATATAGAGGGATACGTTAACTAAGAATACTTCAGAAGTATGACGTCACACCTGTATGGTGCCTCATGCCTGTAATTCTAGAACTGGGGGTTTAGAGGCTTTATTACTGTCGGTTGGAGATTAACATACACCACAGAATAGGATTGCATCCTAAAATACAAACCTCCCAAAGAACTCCCAAAAACACAACTTTCAAACAGAAGAAATTAGTTTTCTCTAAAATTGTTCAAATAGCCAAGTAGAGATAATGAAATGTTAAGACAGAAAACCCAGAATTTGACTTTCTGAGAAGCAAGCTACAAAACCAACCTATCAGGACATAGTCCTTGGGGAATCTACTGACACTGTTTCAAAATGTATGCTCTTGCAAGATTATTGCAGAATTTAGTGTCTCCAGATGTTTATGAAAAGGAAACCCCCTAACAGAAATTCAGGGAATATTGGAAGCTATCTTAAATCAGTATTGGCTCAAGGCAATAAAACCTTTTCCTGCACACCTCATGCTCACCTGGAGCAGTACCACATACGGCTCGTGGGACATTGCCATCAGCTCTCGATACATTTCTCTTAATTGTTTGCTTTTTTGGACCATCATGGCTTCACTTTTTCTGAGTTTCTCTAAATAATAATTGGCTTCTTTTTTCATACACTCAATATTTTCTTCTTCCTGTTTGCTGGGGAGTGGATAACATCTCCTGTACTTTGCCCTTATCATTTCTTCTCTTATAATCAAGCGGATCTGAAAAGGGGGACATTATCAATTATATTAGCAAATATTTTATCCTTCTACACTTAAATTTGACAAATGATTTATGTCACTGTGCTCATTGACTCTGGTGGACTGCACCACCACTTATCAGAAAATGTAAATTCCTGGGTTTCATTTCTTTCTTCTTCATTAATTAGACAGACAACAAAATCCTAAGCATTTTCACCTATATAAGAGTTCCAGGGTGCCTGAAGATATTTATTGATAATTCATATGTACACTCAAATATGAAACTTTGCATGTAGCAATTACAATTCACAGTACAGTCCTGGAGTCTAATGTAGCATGCTGAACTGTCAGCAATTCATTCATTGGTCTCAGACTCTTCTGCCACACAGCCAGACCGTTATTTCCAAGTGCAGAGGTCTAGTTTACTCTCAGAACTAGAGATCATCAGAAAATGTTTTCCTAGTATCACATCCTATGCCTTATACTCAAATCTTGAATGATGATTTTTGAAAATAACTGCCTCAACCACAATTTCTGCATGAATCTCATACTCACCTTCCACAGAGCTAGCAATCTTTTCTCTGCCTCCAGATTCTCTTCATTTTCTTGGACTTTTCCCATAATGATTCCATTTGCTTCAGAAGTCTTTCCTATAAGAAACAATGAATATCAAATTTTGATAAACATTAATGATGGACAGACTCATAGACAATAAATACAATAACTTTAGTGAAAGTGGAAGGATTTCAATGGTTTTTTTTCTACATTGCAACTGAGAGGTTTAGATTTAAGAACATAGAAATAGAAAAAAATGCCTTTTGCTCAGGTCAATTGATTAGTAACAATGACTAATATCTGATGAATTTGTATACAATTAGGATTCCCAGATGTTTCTTTCCAGCTGACTCCAACATACTTTTTCCAATTTAGTCTCTAGTCTCAGACAACTTAAGTATATTAATATTATATATTATTATATATTAGCATTTCACTTCCCAGACACTTAGGCATAATGTATCACAAAATACAAGTAATCTTTAACTCATGGGTCTTCTACGAGATGTTTACATTTATAATCACTCTTTCTTCAGTGGCTTTTAATAAAGTGCCACCGCACAGAAAAACAGTGGCTTTGTCATAATCAGGACCAGCATCTTCCTGTAGTCTGCTAATCCTCACTCTCCAGCTTTCACATTCTCTCAGAAGCATTACTTACCAATTGACCCTCAGCAGCTGCTTCAATGGGACAGTGTCTGTGACCTCTGTGCTCATGGGAGTCAGAACAGGGTCGACAGAGGTAGATGCTGTTCTCCATACAGAAGATCCCCTTGGTCTCCTTGTGGGTCACACACTTATGTTCCTCAGAGCTCAGGTACTTCATGAGGCTGGCTTTTCTGGCAATGGACACCAACTTCTTCAGAACAATATTGGTTCTGAAGTCCTTCTGCTGGGATGGTTCTCTACACATAGGGCATTGGACAGAAACCTGGCTGTCTTCCCAGGAAAGGTGGAGGCAGGCTCGACAGAAGCTGTGGCCACAGCTTATGGTGACTGGGTCTGTAAGGTAGCTCATGCAGATGAAGCAGGTGAGCTCTTCCTGGAAGGCTTGTGAGAGGTCTGACTCCATTTTTCTGAAGGAAGAAAAGCAGGATTGCTATTATTGGACCCCAGAGAAGGAAGAAACTAAACAAAATTTGATTCAAGTTGTGATTTGGTTCTGTGTATGTCAAAACAGGCTTGATTTTCCCATGACAAAATTTCAAGTTAAGTATAAGATTACAGTTACTAATATTTCTTTTTGTGACATAAATACAAACTAATCTGATAACCTGTGCTCTAACATCTGTACCCTCTTTGGAGATTCCATTAAGTTGGCATATTTGTTAAACTTGTTAAATAACAGGCTCTCTCAGGGTTTATGAAAAATATACACTGGAGTGAACATACTCCTTCAATTCCATGTGTTCGTCTTTCACTCCAGATATATATAGGTTTAACACCCCACTTTTTAGTCTTTCCAAGAAAATATTCCCTACTTAACAAAATACCTAGTAAATAATTTGTTTTGATTTTTGATTTTAGCATCTTACTCATTCACATCCCATTTTCCTGCCCCTTGATACATGAAGCCAATATTACTTGTCTTCCTTCTGCTGCAAATACCTAACATGAATACGAATTTATAATTCAAAAAATATTGCCCATCATGGTGGGGAATAAATGGTGGCAGGAGTCTTAGATACCTGGTCTTATGGCCTCCAACATCAGGAAACAGAAAGCAAGCAACACTTATTATTCAACTCCTCCTCCCTATTTTTATTCAGTTTGAGACCTCTATCCATGGAATTGTGAAATGACCTCTCATCTCATAAGTGTTTAGTGTGGTTCTTCCAAATGGCAGTAAATCTATCCCTAATAATTCTTCACAGACATGCCCAGAGGTTTCCATGTCTATATTAAAGCTCATTGAGTCGAATACTAGGGAGCTCTCTGGGGAGACTTGTATGCTTACCAAAGATACAATTCCTACTTGAGTTTATAGGATGAATCCTAGAGGCATGAATGAAGCTCTCACAACTATTTGAATCTTGGTTAACTAATCAACAGGTGCCCATTCCCCTTCTCTTTGAATATCTACACAAATCAAGAATCTTGGTTTGAATGAGGCAAATATTCCAAAATAACTTAAGCATCCAGGTTCTAAAGCAAATAGAGTCACGGGCTTTAGTTGGTTGTCCTGTGTGCCTCAAAAACCAGGACTCATACTCACTGTATAGATTAATTTAGAAGAGACTGTGATTCCAGTGCTGCCTTGCATAACTGACGGTCATCCTTCAGAATTTTATGCACTATAGTAGGTACTTCAATCCAAAATAATTTATACAGATATCCCTGTAACTCACATTATATTTACAAAGAAAAATGACCAAATGTGAGCATAATCTATTTTGGTAAGTAGAAATGATCATTCCTATGCAAAAATCTCACCTTAGTAATAAATTTTTAAAAAGGAAATATCCTACTATAAACTGTATACTCACCCAAGGAACTGTCTCTGGCCTCAGCAGTGTTTACTGGAGACACAACAGTATTAGCTCCGCTCTGCGGTTGGATCCCTAATGTGTGGGGTGGTAGATCTGGCAGTCTCTTGAGCCAGAATGTATAGAAACACACTCTGCCTTGTTCTGGTGAAGAATGGATCTAGCTGGGTCCTGGAGCATCCTTATATAGTCTCTAAGGACCACACCCACTTCCTCCCATGATTGCTTTTACTAATGCTTCCAATTGTCGACCTTCTGTGAGTAGCAGTATTCTAAATGGATGGAAGATTGAATTAACTTTGTTAATTAACGTTAAGGCAGTAGGAGTTTTAGTTCAAGGCCTGACCATGATATACAGTGAGAACCTGCCAAAGAAAAGTTAGCAATTTTCATATAATATTTCATTGTATGTTAATATTTTGAAGTTGTTTTTATTTTCCTCTAGTTAGTATAACAAATGATGATGTCATCAATTTGTGAATTTAGCAACTATCAACTTTAAAAAATTCATAATAATTCTTTGAGACTTTTGTACACTTGTTTTGATCATATTCACCTCAAATGCAAGTCTTTCCACATCCTTCCCCTTTCCTACACACTCAACTTTATCTTTTTTAACAAAACAAAATAAAAATCATTCCATATACATCATTCTAACTCAGTTCCAGTGGGTTATAGTGACATCAGACTCCAAATATGCCTAGCTCGGGCTGTCTAGAGTTCAAATTAACCAACCAGAGAACTGTGTGGAAATTCAGATGTGAAGCAGTTCAGAGCCTGCAAAATTTGTTTTTAGACTAGATTTTTCAATGTAACCTTGACTTTCCTGGAGCTAGCTCTGTAGATCAGGCAGGCCTAGAACACAAAGATCTGCCTGCATTTGTTTCTGAAGTTCTGGGATTAAAGGAATGTGTCATCACTGCCAGCTAGAATCTGCCAGATCTCAACCAGGTACTACTGATTGCTTTGCACCTGGAGGCCTCATTGTCATACTTTATTTCTAATATGTTGTTAGTTGAAGTAAAATTACATCATTTTCTTCCTTTATTACTTTTATACATTTTTATTCTAGACTGGCACCAAAAGGTGTGGCCAAATATATAGAGTAGACTCTCATACTTCAAAAGACTGGGATTTATGTGGTTCTGTTCACTTTAAATGATTCAACCAAGAAAAACCACTAGGCAGGGCGTGGCAACACACACCTTTAATCCCAGCAGCTGGGAGGGAGAGGCAGGATGATCTTTTATCAGTTTGAGGCCAGGCTGGTCTACAGAATGAGTTCCTGGACAACTGATACACAGAGAAAGCCTGCCTTGAAAAATCAAAGAAGAAAACAAACAAACAAAAAATCCCAATAAACAAAAAAATGAAGAAAATATCCCGCACAAGTCACCATACCAGAAGGTATGATGAAAAATTAGCTCCAAAGATTAGAATTTAGGTGAATCTGTCCATTTCAAATGATTTGATGGAAAAAAAATCCCTCAAAAGAAAAGTCACAGCTTCTTGGGTCTTAGTTAATTCTATATATAGTCAAATCACAACCAAGAATAGTCACGTCAAGAGCTCACCACACTGTATTATGTAAACAGTGAGTGATCTCATCCCTGATAGAGGTTACTTCTTGGTCTACCGGTGAATCTCTTCAAAAATTTACCACTTCTACACATCATTGTTCTTTTCTGATTTATCAAGCCATTTTTAGGAGAGAATTTCACAACAGACTTCCTGGTATTCTGGCTCTTATTAACTTTATGACCATTCTTCCACAATGATTCTGGAACCATTGATGCAGGAGCTAGAATATAGATGAATCATGGGGGTTGGGAATCCTGTGATCTGTTGATTTTTTGCATTTTGTCCAGTTATGGTGAGGAGGAGTTGCCCCAAGAAACCACCTCTCACACCACAGCTGATGTAAAAACATGAGGATTTTCTTAATTCTGTCATGACAGGGTCTTTCAGCATTAGAAGCCAGAAAGACACCGAATAACTGGTACAGGCTACTTTTAAAGGAAAAAGCCACAGAAGCAAGTAGAGTTCTGGGGGTTGTTCTTTGACTATTATGATTGGCTTATTCAAAGGGCTATTTCCAATAATTTGGCTGTAGAGCCGTTGCCAGGTAAGAGGAAACATGTGAGGGTCACTTTGACCCCTTTCCCAGGGGCTGAGGCAAATCAAGTCACCTGGCACACTCATTAGGAACTGAGTCAACAACTTAAAGGTTATCTTGCTCCAATGTCTGGAGAACATTCACAAAGACTAATTGTTAGATTCCTGGTTCCCAGGGGAGGGGGATACTACTTCTGAGAGGCCTCAGAGTTGTCAGAAATGGCTTTAGAGTTATTTTAGGGTTATACATTCCCTCCTCTTTTTTTGTCAAAATTCCAATCTGGAATTTTAGTAAATTTGGGATCAGTACACAGAAATTAGCAGTATCATCAGAGACAGAAGTAGAAACACAAAGGGTTAAACCAGTTTTTTAGGTCCCTCATAGATCAATAGAGGGCACCAGGTACCAGTTTCCTGTCGTCCTGGGACATGGGAGAGTTAGGTTACACAGGTGTAACTTTGTTGTTGCCCCCAATTACAGGACATATGAGAGGTGATATTGTTGAAACTGCCAGATGAGGCTATTTTCTCATAATAAAGAGGTCCTGCTGACAGGCATAGCCAGCAAGATTGTGATGGGCTCTCTGCATGGCCTATTCCTTTTCTAGGAACCTGTAATCAGCATTGCTAGGCATTTTTTTCATAGATTTGCAATTTCGTGTTTTGTTTACTTTTGTAGCAAACTAAATCAATGATACATTAATGTGTGAGAGATCATGAGATCAAGGGAATGATAGGTATGACTATTAAGGGAGGCTGTAGGGAAAACAACTTAATATTACTTATGTGGTATGTCTGGTTTTAGATTCAGTTCTGCTTAGAAATTACAGACCAAAAAAGCTGTAAGTATGTTATTGGATCACATACTTACATGGCTTAAAATTAGAATTCTACAGTAACACTAATTTCAAAAAGCCCACAAAGACGTGGATATTGAACAATGCTCACCTTAATCACCAATGGGCCAAGAAAGAAATAAAATTAAATTCATCAACATGACTGCAAAACATACCCAAACTTATGGGACATAGCAAAAGTATTGTTAAAAAGAAAGTTCATAACACTAAATGCCTACATACAGAAGCCAGAAAAAATCCCACACTTGTGAGTTAACAGAACACATAAGAGCTCCAGAACAAAACGAAGCAAACTTGATGTGGGATTCTCCTCTGTATGCTGTGATTACCATTGGTTAATAAAGGAACTGCTTTGGGCCTATAGTAGAGCTATAGGGAAACAGAGGTAAGCAGAAAAAACTAAACTGAATGTTGGGAAAAAGAAGGGAAGGAGTAAGAGAGAAGCCATGGAGCCACCAAAGATAGAAACTGGGAACTTTGCTGGTAGGTCAGGCTGACCTTATACTCACAGAGATCAGTCTACCTCTGCCTCCCAAGTGCTGGGATTAAAGGTGTGTGCCACCACACCTTGAACTCACAGAGATCTGTCTGCCTCTGCCTCCCAAGTGCTGAGA